ACATGAGAGATTGGGGCCAATGGTTCTAAAGGAAATAGAGTCGCAAGAAATTCAGGATGGAATTCGGAGTTTGCAGAGTTATGATGATGTTCCAGAAGAAGACGACTTAATTATATTTGAATAAATGTAGATTGTTGTACCATACTTAAAAAAAATAACACATCCCTTGAAAATAAGCCCTACGGTGTCTTCTTGAGGAAAACTAAATATAAGACCCTGTCTTATTTTCGGGGAAACACGGTATCCATCCTCCTTTGAATTGCTTATGCATCTTTGTTAAAAATTGGTTGGTTGTACTTATATTTCTGGGCTCTCTATTCTATTCATCTGTGTCTGTCTCTCCATCAATACTACACAATCTTGATTACTATAATTAAATAATATCTTGAAATTGGGCAGACTGATTCTTCCTACTTCATTTTTCTTTGAAATTGTTTTAGCTACTCTAGTTCATTTGCCTTTCCAAATAAATTTTAGAATATCTGTGTCCATGTCTATGAAAATATTGCTGGGATTTTGATTGGGATTATATTAAATCCATATATAAATTAAAGGAGAATTGGCATCTTTATTATGCTGAGTCTTCCAGTCCATGAACTTGGACTATTTTTCATTTCACGTATTTATATCTTCTTTGATTTCATTCATCAACTGTCTTATAATTTTCATTGTACAAGTCCTGTGCATGTTTTGTTAGATTTACACCTAGGTGTTTAATTTTTTGAGCAGTTGTAAATGGTATTTTATTTTAAATTTTGGTTTCTACATATTTATTGCTAGTATGTAGAAATATGATCATTTTTGTATGTTAATCTTCTATCCTGTGATCTTGCTGAACTCACTTATTATTTCTAAGAGGAGGTTTTTTTTGGTGGGAGGTAGACTCCAGAGAATTTCTAGGTAGACCATCATGTCATCTGCAAATAGGGAAAGTTTATTTTTTCCTTTCCAATCTCTATGCCTTGTATTTCCTTTTCTTGTCTTGTTGTGCTGGCTAGAACTTTCAGTACTATGTTGAATAGTAATGGTAAGAGTGGATGTCCTTGCACTTAGGGGAAAGCTTTCAGTCTTTCACCAGTAAGTATGATGTTAAGTGTAGGTTTTCTATAAATTTTTTAAAAAATCAAGTTGAGGAAAGTCCCCTATATTTTTATTAATCTGAGATATTTTATAATTATTGGGTATTGAATTTTGTCAATTTTTTCTCCATCAATTGACAAGATCCTGTGATTTTTTTTTTGTTAGCCTGTTAATTTGATGGAATACATTGATTGATTTTTGAATATTGATCGAGCCTTGTATCCCTGGAATAAACTGTGTCATTTTTCAAAATTCCTTTTATATTAGATATAGCTGAATTCTATTTGTTAATATTGTGTTAAGAATTTTTGCATCTGTATTCATGAAGGACATCAGTCTGTAGTTTTCTCTTTTTTTTGAATACTGGTTTTGTTTGGTTTTGGTATCAGAGTAATACTGGTTTCATAAATTGAGCTGGGAAGTGTTCCTTCCTCTTCTGTTTTCTAGAAGATGTTGTATAGAATTAACATTACTTTTTAAATGCTCGGTAAAATTCTCCAGTGAACTCTTATAGGCCTAGAGATTTCTTTTTGAAGAATTTTTAAATTACAAATTCAATTTCCCTAGTAGATATAGTACTATCCAATTTACCTATTTTATATTGTGGTAGTTTGTATTTTCTGTGGATTTGATTCATTTCATCTAAGTTGTCCAATTTATGTGCGTAGAGTATTTGTAGTATCCCTTATTATTCTTTTGAGGTCTATAGGGTCTTTAGTAATATATCCTGTTCTTTCTTTTGGGGATTTTTTTTTTTTTTGGTGGAGATAGGGTCTCACTCCATCACCCACGGCTAGAGTGCAGTGGTATACTCATAGCTCATTGCAATCTCAAAGTGCTGGGCTTAAGTGATTCTCCTGAGTAGCTAGGGCTACAGATGTGTGCCACCATGCCTGGCTAATTTTCTATTTTTTGTAGAGACAAGGTCTCCATCAGGCTAGTCTTGAACTCCCGGCCTCAAAAGATCCTCCTGCCTCAGCCTCTCAAAGTTCTAGGATTACAAGTGTGAGCCACTGTGTGTGGCCTTATTTTTGATATTAGTAATCTATACCTTCTCTTTATATTTGTTAGTCTTGCTAGAAGTTTGTCAATTTTATTGATCTTTTTAAAATATCAGCTTTTCAATTAATTGATTTTATTTATTGTTTTTCTGTTTTCAATGTCCTTGATTTCTACTTTGATCTTTATTATTTATTTCATTCTGTTTTGGTATTATTTTCCTCTTCTTTTTCTAGTTTCTTCAGGTGAGAGCTTAGATTATTGATTTGAGATTTCATTTCTTCTTATGTAAGCATTTAGGGTTATAAATTTCCCTTTAGGCATTGCTTTAGCTGTGTCCCACAAATTTTTATATGTTGTATCACCATTTCCATTTAGTTTAAAGTCATTTTTATTTTTGTTGAGACTTCCTCTTTGACTCATGGATTTTTTAGAAGCATGTTGTTTAGTTTCTAAGTATTTGGAGATTTTCATGTTATCATTTTATTATTGATTTCTAGTTTTTCTCCATTTTGGATGGAGGACATACTTTGGTTTCAGTTGTTTTAAATTTTTTGAGATTTGTTTTATAGCCAAGGATAAACTTTGTCTTGGTATGTTTCCTGGGTACTTGAAAAGAATGTGTACTTTGCTGTCGTTGTATAGAACTTTCTATAAATGTCAATTATATCCTGTTCATTGATCATGTTGTTGAATATCCTTGCTGATTTTCTGCCTATTGCTCTATTAATTGTTGAGAAAGCAGTATTAAAGTTTCCCTTCAATATAAATATAGTGTTTATAATATAAATATTTAAATATGTATAAAACATAATGTTAAGGCCCCTTTTTTGCTAATTATATCTGGTCCATCTCAGTGTATGTTTTATTGACTGCTTTTTTTTTTTTGACTATTGATCACATTTGCCTGTTCCTTTGTATGTCTGATAATTTTTTATTTTATGCTGAACAATGTGGATGGTTGTAGAGACTTTGTGTTGTACTATCTTTTCCCCAGGAGAAATGATTTTTTAATTCTTTGGAAAATAATATATTTTTATAATAGCTTTATTGAGCTATAATTTACATACTGTACCACTCACCAATTTGAAGTATGCAATTCAGAGTTTTCAGTATATTTACAGATATGTGCAACCATCACCACAGTCAAATTTAGAGTGTTTTCATTACCTCAAAAAGAAACCTTATATTCCTAAGCTCTCCATTCCCCCATCCCATGTGCTATAAGCAATCTACTTTCTGTCTTTAGAGATTTGCTTGTTCTGGACATTTCATATAAATGGAATTTATAGTTATGTGGTCTTTAGTGACTGACTTTTTTTACTTAGAATAATGTTTTAAGGCTCATCCATGTTGTAGCATGTACCAGTATTTTACTCTTTTTTATGATCATATAACATTCCATTGTATGGATATACCACAATTTTCTTACCCATTTCTCAGCTAATGGATGGACAGCTGATTTTTATTCTATCAGTCAGTTAACTTGGCTGTATTCATACTCTAAACTCTCTTGCTGTCCTGCTAAATAAATAAAAATCTCACCAGTCTGTGTCCTCTTTTTAAGGATGAATGCCATTCCAGTTTCTGCCTGTTCTTGATTGCTCTCTAATGCCTTCATATAGTTGTTTTTATATTTTGTCAAGAATTTATCATTGTTTTCTGTATAAAAGTTAGCCAATAAAGTCTACTCCACCATCATTGCATTCGTGAACTCACAATGCCTTGCATTTCAATTGGCAATACAGTTTATGGAGCCTTCTATAGACTTATTTCCCTCAAGCCTCAAAAAACAGCTCCCTCTCCTGACTCTAGATAAATGTCTCAGGTAAACAGATAATGCTGTTGGGGAGTGGAAGTCACTCCATCAATGTCAGTTAAGAAGTTGAAATCTTAAAAATAAAGAGAGTGATTATTGCTGATGGAATTTAAGCATCCATTCTTTACTATTTACTGTTATGAAAGTTGCACTTCATGACTTACAAATTTTATCACCCCTTGTGATTTGGGACCAAGCCTGGCCAGGGAGGCTATAAAATTCAGCCTTGCCCTTTTTGCCTTTCCAAAGTAAGCTATACTCCTGCCTCCCTAGAAGAGCAGAGGAAATGAAGTATAGAACCATGAGTGCCACCATTTTCTCTCCCACCTGTGGAACTTAATAATAATAGTAATAACCACAATAAGATAGTCATCATAATAAAATCATTTCTGTGAATTCTTAACTCATCTGTGGCCTACCAAGTCCTAGTTAATCCTAGAAACTTCTCTGTAGCCTTCTACTGAGTAGTTCCATGTAGTTCCATGAAGGAGTAGGAGTATTTTAGGCAACAATGTATTCCCATCCTATGAGCACTGTGCCTAGCACATAGTAGGTGCCCAATAAGGATTTGTGCAATGGATGTTTGAATAGCTGAGCATATAATCTGATGAGAAGAAAATCTTGTGGTTCTAACATTCTGTGTGACTATTCTGAATATATTCTGCTTGCTTTATTTTACTGATTTATTTATGAACTTCCACTTGAGAGTATAGTAAATAATATCTAAGTTGAATTTTTAAAATTCTGGAAACTAGGTCTAAGTCCTGAATAAAAGTTTTTAGGAATTAAATACAATTCCTTTGTTGTCTTTTTTTTCACTTCTGCCTTAATCATTCTAGACAAAAGAACAAGGAAACCAAGAACAAAACAAACCCTGTTTTTCCTATTCATTCATGCATTAAAATTGCACATGCCATAAACAGTTACCTTTACTGTAGCACCTAGAAATACTTCATGATTCAGAACAGAATAGAAAGCATTGCAAATTGTTGCTGTTGCTGGGCATATAATTTGAATGGCATCAGAGAAAAAAATTCTTAAATATATATATAAGAAGCTTTGCTAATACACTATTTTGATTGTTTTCTTTATAAAAATGCAGATTATGTGACTTCTCTGGGGAGGCTTGTGGCTTCTCGGTATGCCAATGGCCTGTTTCCACAGTTCTACAGAGCAGAAGATGGCAGAGTGTACAATGTAAGTCAGAGTCCCCTCGATGCACAGGTCCTGTGACATGATGCTGAGCACATCCGGGAGTGGGCTATGGGGAGAGGCTCATGCTGCTTGGTTGAGCTAAGGCCTTATTAGGCTGGGATTTTCTTCTGGCAGTGGTAGAGTCATGAAAATCATGGCCAAGGAGCTGGGGAAGGAAACCCTTGACCCATTAGAGATAAGCCCAGAGAGCTCTTGACCAGAGTTGAAAACCTTTGCGTATCAACACTTTGTTTTGCCCCAAAGATAAGAGAAAAAGGAAATATGACAGAGATTAAGCTGAAAGCCAAGAGCTAGCTGCCGTTATCTGAGAGAAGCACTGGGAACAGGGGGCAGCTTTTACAGGCAGAAGAGGAGAGAGGATGAGTGGCACCTCAGACTGGAGTCCTTTGTTCCCAGCAATTCAGCACTTGACTCTAGTGCCCGCTCCCTGTCCAGCCCTGTGCAGACGTTGGCCCACCACATGGAGCTCACTATCTGTTGGAGATACATGTCCCATGACGTCCTTTTGTGGATATTTGTTCATGTCAATGTACATCCATGTACCACCTGGATTGTTATCTCTTAATCTTAAAAAAACATTTAAATTACTTTTTAAACTAAGCCTAGTCCTAAGCAATGGTATGCATGGAATCTTGAGGTTTGGTGTGCAGATATTTTTTATCTGAGCCACATTAAAATTAGAACTATTAAAAACATTTGTCCCTTTACCAGCTAAGTCTACCTCCACATCCCCTGTGGTCTGGTCCCACCCTGGTTTCTATGTTGTCACAGGAGCTGTGAACTCCGGAGAGGGAGTTAGGAATTCTTTCCTAAGGGTTGTGAGAAGTGATACTGGAGTTTGAGGAATTGAGCTTAAAGAGATATATGCGAGGGAGAAGGAAAGGAGTTTAAGGAGCCAAAGCACAAAAGTGGAAAATTGCACAGTGGTTCTGAAAGGACATTTTTCTTAACATTTTGAGTGTTTAGGGGTTGTTAAAGTTTAACAAAAAAGTACCAGATCCTCTTTTAAAATTTGATCATCACAGAATAGATCATAATATTTTCTTATCCCTTTTCCTATGTCTTCTACCTCATCACCCAAAGGCCTTGCATGGTTGTGCCTGATCTATGTGTAGGATAGTTTATTTGTTCACACAAGAAATTGCCTGCAAGTCCCAGTCACCTTTCAGCGGCAGCCCCTAGAAGTGCTGGTGGCAGCCCCTAGAATTGCTGGGGTGATCAGGTGGTCCAACAGGGGAGCTTGGCCTGAGAGAGGGAGGACACAAGCATAAAGGTCATGAGCAGGAAGATGAGTAGCTGGGACAGCATCCCTGAGAAGAAGCCAGGCAAATGTGCTGGCACTCTTAGAAACATTTTCAGAAATGTTTTTGGCATATTGTACTTAGGAAAACATTTTAGTGAGACTTACTTTTTTCCACCTGCCTTTAATGGTCTCTCTTTTCTTAGGCCCAATGTCTTAAAAGTGCCCCTGGGCATTTTTTGATAAAGATAATCTATAACTGGAAAGATAAAACACAATCTGGAAACATTTTTTAAAAAGAATTCTATATTTTGAATAGATCACATCATCATCTTTTCTTCTGTTAGGGAATCATTCAACAGGTTTTTTCATTTGAAAGATTGGAACACTTCCTCCTGGATTATACAGGTTTGGGAGATCATTTACAAAATTGTCATTAATGCATAGCTCTTGATGGCAGCACTATGGTTCAGGTGACTTATTTTCGTGCTATTGTTTTCATTTTTTGCTTTTATCTTCATTAAGCTGACAGCTAAATCAGAAGTGATCTATCAGTTCGTGGAATATTTAACACAAGCTGTGGAAAGCTACAAGCAGCGGATGGACTGGCTCACCAGCAGAAGCCGGCAGATTTTTGGTGTCATCTTGGAAAAGTGCATTACCATAGTGTTGGATTTTGGTGACATTCTGGAGGAGGAGCTTGATCTGTGCCGAGATGCTTTAATAATGATCCTCCAGGAGCAGGTGGCCCACATAACAAAGTTCAATATCATACAGTGAGTTCCCACAGGAAAGGGGCATTTCAGTGAAACTTCACAGTAATTTGCACATATTTGTAGTTAAATAGCATAGCTAACATAGTTAGCTCAATGGTGAGGGAGGCGGTGTTATCTTGTAATTTCCTAGAATATATAATTTTAGCAGAAATCCTGCAATAAATAAATCCTAAGAAATTTTTATCTGCTTTGTACCAGGGCATCTTAGTTTGCACATTAAAAGAGATTTAGAAACATACTTTTCTTCAATCCATGGGAAAGTCAAAATATAAGAATATATGAATTATGTTGAATATATGTTTAAGGGCATAAATTTCTTCACTTATTTTAGATTTTAGCTTGGGTAATGATTTCAAAGGTCACACATTTAACAGACTGAATTTTTAACTGAAGTTGACCTCCCCTATAAGTTGACCTCTTTAACCAGAACAACAGGTGGCTGGCTTTTTAGAATTTCCCATATTTCAGAGTTTTCACAATCAATTATTTATGGATTCAAGAAGATTTGGACTTCAACACTAACTTTTCATCTGGAACAGTGGTTGCATGTCCCTGACAAGAAACATCTGAGTGTGTGGGAAGGATTTACCTAATTGAGTTTTTCTTAAAAAAATTTTTTTTCTTTATTGTCCAACTATCTTTGGGGAAAGAGTTTTTCTTTTTTAAATCAAATACTTTAAATAGAGGACATCTTTGGGGGCAATGGTAATTGTGTTCTCTCCCACATTCCTATTTCTGCCACAGTATAATATTATTGAAGGAATTTAAGTGCTTAAATCTGCAAAGCTTTTGCTTTCTGAGAAATGTTTGCTGTAATATATGTCTCTCAGCCAGATCCTCTACCCAGAGAAACTACACAGAGGGACACAAATGTGAGCCAGCTCTGCCTCTGGTGGTGGGCTATGAGGGCAAGCAAATTGATTTATTTGCAATTGTCAACACAGGGATAAATTCAAATGGCTCTTCTTTTTTGAAATTGGGGGTTTCCATCAGTCATTTCCAAGCCAAACTAAATAACCACATTTCCTCAGGATTTAAATAATAATGCTCTGCTGAACTCAAAACAATGCCATCATTGATCCAAAAAAAAAGGTAACTGGTGGGAATCTTTCAGGACATTGAAAACAATGTTGTGAAAGCATTAGAAATAAAATTTTAGAGTAATCAAACTGCTGGTGATTTGTAAATCTTAATAACATGAATTCTTATAAATTTGCTATTAATAGAAGACAGTTACATACAAGCCTGCCTGTTTATGAAAATAACTTTCCTTAATATTTTTAAAGCACTTGTTAATGTTTACAGTTTTGAGATTTTTGTTTCTCATGTAACAGCTTAGTCAGTACAGCTTAGGGAAGATAATTGTGCTTTGGGAACCTGTCTTAAACAGCTCACCTATTTTGTTGGCAACGTCAGAGGGCTGGGAACTGTTTCCTTTCTGTCTCTGTTCAGGAGATAGGAGATGGATGCTGGGCAGCTTTTTGCTCATGGCTGTGAGATCAAGGGCTGATAACTCCTAATAGCACTGATCACCACCCAGTGACTGCTCCATGTGATTCCTTTCAGGGTTTCTCAGGAGCCGGTGAAATGGCAGGAAAATGCTATTCCTGTGACAGAACAATCCATAGTTGCTGCCATCCACTGGGTTAAGAAATTGACTGCTAAGCCGACTTTGAGTGGGTTTAGCCACCTGGATGCTCTGCTGGAAGCTGGGAAGGACAAAACTGTAAGTGTGTGTCCATGCCTGGTCCCACATCATGGAGGTGGCTTCAGGCTTAGCTCTTCATACTTGCTATCTTCACACTGCCTTTCAGCTGATCCAACAGAGACCCCATCATTGGCCCAGAGGACCCCGTAATAAGTCATAATCCTTAATTTGGAACCTCAAATTGAGAAATAGGTTACAAGCCTCAGATGGGGATGAAAGTAGCAGCTTTGGCGATAGCAGAGCTGGACCAACCAAAATGAGACTCTCAAATACCTGTCCCCTGAGCCTGGCTAGGCTCCCTCCGTTGGGTGAGGGGGTCACAGGGCAGACCCTCATTTAGCTTGTGCCAGGAGAGCCAAGTGCTTATCACACTCACTGAGCATGGAGAAAGGACAGGGAATGCGGCCATAGTTGTGCATCTCTGACATATTCGTTCTATTCTCACTCTCCTGCCAATTAGATAAATCAATCTTTCTCTTGTGGGGAGGAGAGAGAGGTTGGAAGACCCCTCATAGAATGCTAAGGATGAGGAAATAGGGTCCCCCAACATCCATGTTCTGGATCTTTCCCAGTTCCTCTTCTTCACAGATGGATCTATCATACGCTTTCCAAGGTGAAGTATATTGGAATGTTGATGTATTGACATACGCCTTTTGATAGGGACCTTTTGGAAATAAAGTTTTACTTGGAAGAAGCAATTAAATGGTGGTGTTTTATATCTCTTTCAGCCATGGGTCTGTGTTTCTTGTGTGGCTCTAGTGATGGAGCAGTGGCAAGCAAATGGGGAAGTATTATGGGCAGATGGGGTCCTTTGTCCAGCCTTGACTCCTTAGGTGGGAGCAGGTCTGTTTGCCTTTGGATACAGATACTTAATACTTATTTACTTCCTCCACTCTGGAAGCCTGAGGTTTCTCTAGGTTTTAAGCATTACCTGGCTGTATTTAGAAGTCTTTTCTTGGGGTAAGAGGCCATGTGCTGGCACCTTGAAAGATAGCCCCCAGTGGTCACTGGCCTGTGTTTATCAATACTGAGGGTGACAGTTTGAAATTGGAAACACAGTTTTTCCTCCTGAAGCCAAAGGAACAAATGTTTTCCATTAAGGAAGAACCTAATACAAGCTACTCTGTTCTTTGGCCTTTCAAGTTTTTTTTTAAATCTGCAAAATTTCAAGTGTCTGGACACCTTAATAAGCACACAAGAAATGGAACATTTCCCAGGCTCTTGAATGTGTGTGCATGTGTGTATGACACGGCTGTTTGCTTTCTCTGTTAACCTGGCTATTGAGGTCATAGCTGACTCTGGCCACCTGATGTGACTGCAAGCTCTCCCTGTGACCTTGCTTTTCTATTTTTCTTCCCTCTGGTTTGTGCCTTTTCTTCGTCTGGGGTACATCCTTTCATCCCTAGCCCAGGAAGTAAGGAACAATTCAGTGAGTCCCAGGAAAGTTCTATAGAAGAGGATGAACCAAGAAAGAAGTTCCCAGGCACTGATCATCAAATGCAACCTTGAGAAAAGACTGAAAAGTTTTTGAGAAGAGACCATGGGGCATACACAGAGACTGCAGAGCATGCAAAGACTGCTGCATCCCTCCATCTACAGTCTCTATCTGGGTGTGGTTCCAAGGAGAATTTCAGTAAATGCAATTGTCTCTTATACAAATACACCATGCACTGTGTTTTATGAGAAGTAAAAAAAGAGCACCTGTGTGTGTATGTGTGTTGGTGTGGGGGCAAATGGGTTCCCATAAAGCCTGCTTCTCTGCTCTATATCATTTTACTGGTGATAATCTGCCTTGGGTTAGCATTTCTATGAGTGGGTCCTGAGAGGAGCCAAGAAAGTATTGTGTCCAAAAATTAACATTCAAGTGTGGTTTTGTACCAAGTCCACACAAGGAGTAAGGGCTGAATGCTGTACTTCATTATGGTGATAGAGGATGCCCAGAGGCCACCAGCTTCCTCCAGGACTGGGCTTTGTCCCCATGGTAGACCAGGAAGGGATCCAGGACAGAGGTGAGGCTTTGAGTCTGAGAGGAGCATGAGAAGAGTGTGGTGTCTGTTTACACTCTGGCTCTACTCATAACACTTGAAGAGTACTATTGATGGATGAACTATTGTTGTATTCTGTAAAAAAGAACCTGGCTCATGTAAGCACAGCATGGGGTGTCCGAGGAAGTGTTTGGTGGCTGAGGGGGGTTGGTATCTGCAGAGCCTAGGCGTGTTGCAGCAGAGGCTTTCTGCTCTTCAGTGTTCTCTGGTCCCAGGACATATGTCTTTTGGAAGTTAGGAGCTTCCTGGGCTTTATAAGGAGGTGTGTTATACCAGGAAGCCCCGGGAGGCCTGCCGATTTGGATGACAGAGAAGACTGTTTATCTGAAGCTCTCAGTCTAAGCTGACTGAGAAGACTACTTGAGAGGCTTCGCTTCCCCTCCAGGACAAGGCCACCTGCCCAGAAGACACATTTCTGTTTTCATTCTCTCAGCTTCTCATCCATCCACTTGACAGGCATACATCTGTTTAGTTTCTTGTTTCTTTTTGTCATATTCACTGGGAGACCAAGTGTGTGAATTGAAGACAGACCCCCCCCCCCCCCCACCCATATGATTCCATAAGGAGCCTTCGCTGCTGGGCTGTAAGGCCTAGCACGTCAGTCCATGAAACTGGCAGCTGATTTATTTCCTTGTAGTGGTTCAGACAGGCATCAAATCTTTTTATTTTTGTGTCTCTGATGCTTAACAAGAACTCTATAAATGTTTGTTGAACATTGAAGAAATGGAAAGAAAATAGTGTTGATATTCTTGAGTTTGGGGGCTAGATGTGGCTCCATTGGATTTCCATCCCCAAATTATTGCACAGATTTGAGTTTTTTTAATTGAAGGGAGGTGGTCTGTGTGGGACCAGCAGGTGAATTTGCTGAGGCATGTAGGACTGTCAGGGATGGTGGATGGCGACAGGAACCCTGAAGCTTGGCAGGCCAGAAAGTCAGTGGTGGTCAAGGATATTAAGAAGAATCTGAGAAGTGAACTAGGTCAACACCACGGGGAACGGTCACCACCAAGGAGGGTATCTGAAAATCAAATTAGGCTGCACCAGGTGAGTGTTCCCACAGGCACAGGGAGGACCTGGAGGTTAGATCCCAAGGTCTGGAGTTGGCCCAAAATGTTGAAGTGTTCAAAGTTTTATGAAGAAAAAGATAATTTTTTCTAAAGCCCTTGCTACCCATCCTGGTTGACTTTCATTTTTGCTCCTTGAAGAGTGGAGACTGTTATATCTAGAAGCCTTAGGGATGAGAGCGCAGGCTTCTGACAAGTGAGAGCAGAGGGCAGCCAGAGTAGAAACAGCCACTCCTGGTCTATTTCTTTTTTTGCCCCCAGAGCAGCAGCTGGGAAGATGTCAAGGACTCCTTGGCTGGGCAGAATGCAGGTCATCGTGTGAAGCTGCAGAATAAATGGCCCAGATAGAATAAGATATTTCATGTGAAAACATAAAGGCTCCACCCTACTTGATGTAGTATGAAGTGTCAAGAGCTTTCAATTCACTCTAAAGAAGCTGAATGGAACCCATGTGTTGTTCTATCAAAATCAGTGCAAATCAGCATGTGGGCAAATGCTGGTTGGTGAGGAAGCTGCTTTTGGTCTGGATGCTGCTACTGACCTTCCACACTGGTCTGTGCCCCTGTGGAGCTCCAAGGTACTGGCCAAGGGGTAAGGATTCCCATGAGGATATTCCCTTAAGCCAAGCAACCTCCTGGACCCAACTTTTGGTCAGCGGTGCTGATATCAGGAGTAGAGGACAGAACCCTTGGGTGCAAATAGTGCCTGCTTGTGGCCACCTTTTCTGCCCCATGATCTTGCTTTTCCAGTTCTAGGACTCATGTTGTCTCCAGCAATGAATCAGCGCTGCCACAAGTCAACAGAGCATACCAGTGGGAGAGCACGGGCAGAGTCTTGGGGTTAGGCAGCCTGGACTTAGTAGCTCCAAGACGAAGTCAATTATCCTTTCCAAGCCTCAGTTTTTTCATTTGTATACTGGGCATGATAACAATAATTTATGTGCTACAGGACTGTTTCGAGTATTGAATAATTCATTTTAGCTTATCCAAAATAGCTGAAAATCCTAAAGCCATTTTGCTTTAAGAAGCATGTTGCCAATCTGGGGGGAGATAGGAATAGGTAGCATATTTATTCTTCCTCTCTGTTTTCCTAAGTGTTATTATGTGAGCAGACAGGAGAAGCAGAAAGGCTGTGCACAGGAGAGTGAGGGGTATCTGTGGTCTCAATGTAAAGCATGTCCCACGAAATCTGCAGCACAGATAACCTAGAATTGACTGGGGACGTATGCAATTAAGAAGCTGAGTAATGAACTTAATGAATAGTGAGTAACACCATAGCCTTAGTAAAGGAAAGGAAATCCTGACTCACTGTTGGTTACAGCAATTTTCAGTTTGATGAAATTGTGATGGAAAAACATTCCTTCACAAGGATTTCAGATTCTTGGGTTATTCCCAGAGCAAAGAAGCTGAGTTGACATGACGTGCAACGGAGATGTGGTGGTGTCAGGATCTGCCAGCAACTACCTGGAGATGTGTGTCCTCACCTCCCTGTTGATCTAACGAACTGCAAAAAATATGCCATGTCTGTTCCTCTGCCTTGGGCCATGTGTCATTTTAGATCCTTATAACAGGATGAACCTGTCCCCATGCTAAACTTGGGCACTAACACAGCTGGAAAACTCTAGTAAATTAACTGTGCAGCTGAAAAGGAACCTTTTAATAAATCTTACATAAGGAATGTACAATACCAAGAAAAAAATGAGATGTAATACATTTGCTGGAAGAACAATATTAGTTGCCTAATAAGTAATCCAGAGTATACTGTTTCTTCCTTTTTTTGGTGTTTTCTGAATCCCAGGTTACTGACTGAAATAAGACATTTTCAACATTCCTCAGTCTTCATTCCTAATACATACTTTTTACAATCAGGGAGCTGGTGTTGAAAGATCTGAAACAAAGAGGCCTGGCAGTGAGTAGGGGGGTGGGGGGTGCCTAGTTGGAGGAGGGTGTTGTTGAAGAGGTCTGGTCTCAGCCCCCACTCTGGTTTTCTAAAACCCATCCTGGACCCTTAGCCTGTGCCCCCACCTGCCCCCTTGTCCACACAGTCTGCCTGTGTGCTGGTCAGGCAGAGTACCCTGACCAACTGGAACCAAGCATGAGGCCCCCTCTCTCAGCCAGCTTAAGGCCCAGGTTTGGTGTTGAGATGAGGCCATTTACTGACTATATTCAGCTAACATGGGTTTGGGATTAGAGCAGCGGAAGGGTCATGAATCCCAAAGGGAGGATGACATCTATATATCCCCTAAAACACAATATGTTTTCTGGGGTTTCTTCCCCAGTTGTCTGTGGAGACAATCCATTTTTAGGGGCAGGTTGAAAAGATATGTATTGCTGGCTCTCCTTTGGGTTTTTTTTACCTTCTGAGATTTATATAAATACATGCACAAGTGTAAGTCGTCTTGTTTAAACTCTGTTATGAAGAATTAACTGCATTATCTCCCATGAAGAAACTGCAGTGAGATCACTTGCCTGAGATTACAGAGCTCATTAGTGTTAGGGAGACAGACTCGTGGAAGCACAGTCTTGGGGAAGGGCCAGAGCAGTGGAGTTGAGGTCAGGGATGGGCAGACAATTGTCACAAGACTCCCTTGGGTGGGCTTTACATCTCTCTAAATTAAGCAGGCAGTACTTCTTTGGAACTATCTTCTACATGGGTGAGGTATGCATCTCCCAGAATCAATCACTGGTTTAAGATTGGTGTGTGTGTGTGTGTATCTTGACACAGGGGATGGTTTGGTTCTTCTGCTCATGCTTCTCCTGTTCTTATGGCCTAACATGGCCGTGAGAGCCAGGCCCAGTAGGAGGCCTGGCTCCTGACCGGCTGTGTGAAGTCAGGACAGCCTCACCAACCTGGGCATGTGATTCCCTGGTGAGATGAGACCAGAGGATGAACCAGCTGGGACTATGCCCTCCTTTCCACATTCTGCCTCAGACTGAGGATAGATAAGTTTGCATTGTAGAATTCTGGCACCGCCACAGGAAATGGCTAATAAGCTTCCTGCCCGTAGTGGCAGTTCCTTCATTTCTTGACTTGAAAATAACTGCTTGAAATAACTTGAAAATAACCTATATAATGAATGTATTTGTGGGCCTAGAAGAAGCTTCTCCAAATCTGCCAGCCATATTCTTCTCATGTGATACCTGAGACTGCAGCCACTGCCAGGAGACCTTCTTGGCACCAGGCCCTCAATATCTCACTTCCTGACTTGGGCATCCTTACATCCTTACAAAATTCTGACCAGTGCTGCTTTTCCTTCTGCCCATTATTTTTTAAAGAGGCAGTACAAGGTGAGGGCATGTCAAGGAGATAAACCATTGGTCCCACTCTTTTGCAGATCGAATCCATTTACTACTTTGTGGTGGGGGACGTTCCTGAGGAATCCAAGGAGCTTCTCCTCCAAGGGGCTTTGGAGATCCCATATCCAGTCTACACAGTGTCCTTCAATGCCAGAGGAGAAGGCACTATAGCTTTCCTAAAGGAGCTGAGTGCCAAGACCCACAGCAGGTAGGCAGAAAATATGCTCTTGAGTGACAATGAGTGGGTCACCAGCTTACATAGGATCAACAGTTGGTCTTAGATTCTTTGTAGCCTTCTTAACCAATCTGTTGCTGGGTTCTTCCTCTCTTTCCAGTGTAGTCTTTGGTCTGTATGCACCTTTTCTTCTCTATCCTGTATTTGTCACGTCTCTTAATTTTCTGCAAGTCTGATGCCTTGCTCACCCAGGAGACACTGCCCCTCCCAGGACTAGCCATTCCTAGACATAGCAAATGACTCACCTGGGGTGCACTTTCATATGCAAACCAACTAATGCAGAGTCTACACTCCCAATCCAGGCTCTCATACTCAGAACCACTACCCTCCGCCCTAATCACCCTGGGGCACTGACGTTATTCAAATTAGCCAATCTGAAACCTGCTTACCCCTGCCTCCCCTCTTCCTTCCCTTGGAAACCACGTTTTCCCCTCATCCCTCTGCCTCCCGGCTGGCCGCTTGGGCTGCCCTAACAAATCATTACAGGCTAGTTGTCTTAAACAACAGATATTTATTTCTTGTAGTTCTAGAGGCTGGGAAGTAAAAGATCAAAGCCAATTTGATTTCTGGTAAGGGTATTCTTCCTGCCTTGTAGGCAGCTGTGTTCTCATTATGTCCTCACTTGTTGGGGGGAGAGAGAGAGAGAGACAGACAGACAGACAGAGACAGAGAGAGAGAGAGAGAGAGAAAACGTGCGAGTGTGCACATGTGAGACAGAGAGCTCTGGTGCCTCCTCCTCTTTCATCTTCTTACAAGGTCACACTAATCCTGTCAGATCAGAGCCCCATCCTATGATCTCATTTAACCTTTATTACCTTCCTATAGGCTCTATCTCCAAGTACAGTCATATGGGGAATTCGGGCTTCAACACAGAAATTTTTTAGCAGGGGATGTGCAATTCAGTCCACAGCAGGAACTGTGAATAATAAACTATCTTTTTGGTGGCAATAGTCTCCTGATGTGTTGGCCTAACCATACCTGAATAATAATAAAACCTACATTTAAAACATACACTCCTCCCTTGGTATGTGTGCGTGTGTGTTTGTGTGTGTGTGTGTGTAAGTTTAGGACCCTATGGAGAAAGACCAGCTACTTCTGTGGTTACAAGGAGAATTATGAAGTCCTTTCCTAAGTTAGCCTGTGTGAAATGGGTACAATGCTTGCCCAGAGCACTTGTTCTTTTTAAAAAATTTTTTTATTGATATATGATATTTGTATACGTGATATTTTGCTACATGCATAGTATGTATAATGGTCAAGTCAGGCTATTTAGGATATGCATCACCTTGAGCATTTATTGTTTCTATATGCTGAGAACATTTTGAGTCCTCTCTTCTAGCTATTTTGAAATATACAATACATTGTTGTTAACTACATCAGTCACCCTATTCTGTTAGAACTTATTCCTTCTATCTAACTGTATGTTTGTGACCATCACCCAGCCTTTCTTCATCCCTCATCATCCCTCATACCCACACCCTTCCCAGCCTCTGGTATTTTTCATTCTACTCTCTCCCTTCATGAGGTCAACTTTTTTAGCTTCTGCATATCAGTGAGAACATACAATATTTAGCTTTCTGTGTCTGGTTTATTTCACTTAACACAATGACCTCCAATTCCATCCATGTTGCTGCAAAAGATTTCATTCTTTTTTGTGGCTGAATAGTATTCCATTGTGTGTGTGTATGTATGTGTGTGTGTGTATGTGTGTGTGTGTGTGTGTGTGTGTGTGTGTGCGTGTGTATACCACATTTTTAAAATTCATCCATTGAGGGACACTTAGGTTGATTCCATATCTTCATTATTGTGAATAGTGCTGCGATGAACATGGGGTTGCAAATAGGTTTTTGACTTACTGATTTCCTTTCCTTTGTATAGATACCCAGTAGTGGGATTGCTGGATTGTATGGTAGTTCTATTTGTAGTTTTTTGAGAAATGTCCATAATGGCTGTACTAATTTATGTTCCCACTAACAGTGTATGAATTCCATTTTCTCTACATCCTTGCCAGCATTTATTGTTTTGTGCCTTTTTGATAGTAGCCCTGCTAAGTGGGGTAAGATACGATCTTGTCCTTAAATGTAGGTGTCCATCACTGTCACCTGGGGAACTTATTAATGATGCAGAGGCAAGGCTTCACCTGGAAGGCTGATTCCACATGATAGAGGGAGCCTGGAAATATGCATTTCCCCCCATCACTTTGCAAAACTGCCAGAGAGCTTGATTGAAATGCAGATTCTATGGCCACAGCCACAGAAATTCTGATTTTCAGGGTCTGAGTAGGGTCAGGAAGGTTTTTTTTTTTTTTTTTTTTTTTAAGACAGAGTCTCTCTGTGCTGCCCTACATAGAATTCAGTGGCATCATTGTAGCTCACTACAACCTAGGAATTTCATTTTTAAAAGGACCTGAAGATTCTGAGGACCACTGACCTGGCTGCTCTTAAAACACTTTGAAATCTTTTAACACCAGGTACTTGACTTCCATTCTGGGTTCCTGAGGATCCCCCCCCCCCAAATACAGAAGGGGGCTCCCTGGCATTCAGGGCTTGGTGCCTTCCAGGACAAACTTCAACTATCTCTCCTCCTTGCACTGCAAGGTTATGAGGGAAGGAAGTTGGCCATTTCTGCTCTGGCCTAAGCTCCTATGGGACGCAGGCACAACCAAGCTAAGAGTCCATTGGCCTTAGAAGGGACTGCTGGAAGGAGGCTAATGTGTCCATTGTCATCAATTCATTATCCCAATCTTAACCTGAAACCCTTTAGAAATAGGACTAAGGCTCTCTGTAGCCCAGGGGAGGTCCCCAGGCCTCTCCCACCATTGTTTGTCCACCTATCCATCCCAAGCAGTGCTTCAGGATTTTCTTTGACTTGAGTGTTAGGCAACAGGCAGAGGTGGAACTCTTGCAGTGTTGGAGGAGCCTTACTTAAGACCCCTGCCAATCTGAAAGAAACATCCTGCTGTTACTGACCTTTCGGATTCCCATTAAGGGGCTTCAAGGGTGTGACTTAGCCCATCACTCTGTGCACTACACCAGTGCTTGTCAAACTTTCATGTGCTTGTGAGTCCCCTGGGAATCTTGTTAAAGTGCATGCTTTGACTCCACAGGTCCTGGTGGGGGCTGGGAGTGTGTGTTCGTAACCAGCTCTCAAGTGCTGCCACTATTTCTCCTTGGACCATACTTTGAGAAAGCAGGCCCCAGAAACTTGCCCACACAGGAATTCTTTTCATTAACACTTAAGCTTCGATCCTGGGGAAGTGTGTGTTTGCTGAGTTAAGGCTGACTGAAGCCCGTCATCAACAGGCAAATGAACCAAGCTGCCCATGTCAGGGCTTGCCACACTGAGCCCACAAAGCTGATGGCACTGTTGGGGCCCTTCGTTAAATGCCTGCCTTGTTAAAACTGCATTGACATGATGGAACACTGGGAACAAAAGAATGAATATAAGCTTAGAGTATCAGTTTCCCAGGATCAAAAAATACCACTTGGTTGAGCTAATTAACCTCTAATGAAAAGACAGGTTATCAGTTAAAATCCCAAACCATTCACAATTGTCTGTCCTCTTGTGCCTCCCTATTGTTTGCTTGTGGGAATTGACATGGTACACAGAAAACAGTGAACATGTCTAAGATACTCTGCACTACAGAAGAGTAAATTCACAATCCGAGGGAAACAGGACAGGACAGGACAAACAATTCCCTCTGTACTAGCCTAACGTCGAGCACATCTTCATGTTTCAGGTTCCATGCATTTGCTGAAAGAACAGAGTGTGTGTTATTTCCCGCATTCCACACAAAGGATGGTGACGGTGTGATGTCTTGGAATTCATGGAAACTGAAAGGAAAACTCCCTCCAGGTACCTGGAATCCAAAAGAAGCAGTGTAGTTTTATCCTTAATAACCTCAGATGAACTGTCTCATTAGGAAAGAAAGTACTAGGTAGGGACTACCGTGTTTCCCTGAAAATAAGACCTACCCATAAATAAGCCCTAGCAGGATTTCTAAGGATTTGTGCAATATAAGCCCTGCCCCGAAAATAAGACCTAATGTTGGGCGTGGCTACACAGTGTATCTGCACAACCCATTCATTTCATCAGGGAGCGGTAAAGAAGACGAGCAGCCCTCCTCATCTGCCCCATCGTGACAGCTACTATCCCAGAGGTGACTGGAAAGGTGTGGGCAGCCCCACCAACAAAGTCAGCTCCCCCTGTCAGGTACAGCCATCCTGTGCGTGCTGCAAGCTGAGGCTTTGAGGGAAAAGTCTCCTCAGTGAAGTGAGGAGCAGGACGCTCTGCTTTAGGTATTGTGTGTCCCCAGGGGGAAGAAGGAAAACTGTGGCTGCCATTTTACTATGATGATGTTCCAGAAGAAGACGACTTAACTATATTTGAATAAATGTAGGTTGTTGTACCGTACTTTAAAAAAATAACACATTCCCTGAAAATAAGCCCTAGAGTGTCTTCTTGAGGAAAACTAAATATAAGACCCTGTCTTATTTTCGGGGAAACACAGTACTCGTGTTTTTTGTATTATTAATGTGGTACAAAGGCAGAGTTTTTTGGGTTTTTGTGTTTGGTGTTTTTTTTTTTGAGACAGAGTCTCACTTTCTTGCCCAGGCTAGAGTGAGTGCCGTGGTGTCAGCCTAGCTCACAGCAACCTCAATCTCCTGGGCTCAAGCAATCCTACTGCCTCAGCTTCTGAAGTAGCTGGGACTACAGGCATGTGCCACCTTGCCTGGCTAATTTTTTGTATATATATTTTTAGTTGGTCAAATAATTTCATTCTATTTTTATTTGAGACGGGGTCTCACTCAGGCTGGTTTTGAACTCCTGACCTCGAGCGATCCACCCACCTCGGCCTCCCAGAATGCTAGGATTACAGGCGTGAGCCAGTGCGCCTGGCCCAAAGGCCGAGTTAATGGATATTAATGGTGAACTTCGCAACCTAGCAACCAGGCATAAGTTTATTACCCAGGGAATTGGCCTAAGTGATACGTGTTTACTAACTTGGGAACCTTCTGGAGACATAGCCTTGGGCATGTCAACGCTGAGTTAGTTCCTGGCAAGGCAGAGCTGCTCTGCTGTACAGGTTAGCTGCGAGGCTGCTGTGAGGGCATCTGTAGTTCTTGGGCAGGGCGGGGGGTTCTGCTGTTCCCCTGTGATGAAAGCTGTACTAGTGGATGCGGTGTGTGAGCTGACCTGCCCCTTGTGAGGACTGGGCTGCACAGGAACCTTTATGGAGTCTGAATGAACCTCCCCTTTCACTCAAGGACTATGATCAAAGGGCTTAACGAGCACAGGGAATGAAGTCACAAAACCAGCAAGAAATAAGGCTGTGATTTAGAACATGGTAGATGGTTACCCAGACAGCCAAAGGATGGGAGTTTCTTTTGGGCTGATGGAATTGCAAAGTGCCAAAGATGCTGAATAAACACCACTGAGAAAAGGAGGAAGGAAGCTCCTGTTGGATCATTGGATGATGTGGCACAGTGGGTAGTTAGAAGTCTAAGAAATGCCACCCCCACCTCCATCCTCCTTTGTAGTTATTAAATAGATTTCTAGCCTCACTGTAAGGTAAGGACTACTCTTTGGGGATAGGGGCAAAGCCACAACATACAGCTGCTTGCAAGATTCCAGAGGGTTCTGGGACTGTAAGTAAAAGGCAGTTGCATTGCCAGGCTGGGGTATCAGATGGAGATAAAGGCAGGGGATGGGTCAGGAGCCTGTTCCTGACACACAGACTTTGTAGATTCAAATTCTTAGTGCCCAAAGCAGAGCAGGGTAGAGATTCCAGTAGAGCTCACTGGGGTTACTGTTTTAGGTTGCTGACACCTTTGTTGTGATCATGAAGTGGATATCTGAGAGAATTTGGGAAAATACCAGTTGATAAGCAAGATGGATGCTGATCTAAGAAAAAATTACTGCAGAATGTATGCCATGCCTAGTGAAAGCAATTTACAAGCTTTAGCCTAGTGGGCAATGATTTAATCAGGGTAAAGAATATAAGATGTCACCAGCTCCCCATAGTATGCCAATTATGGTAAATGGGGCTTAATTTTGGCTTCTGCATTCCTTGGCAACTTAGTTATAAAGGGAAACATAAACTGCATAGCTTACATTTTCAGGAACTACCATCTTGCCAACCCTGTGATGCATATAAATTAAATTATGGATAAAAACATTTTTCTTAGAATAAAAGGCTCAGGGTGGCTTGCCATTCTAAATCCTTTTCAGTGATCACATGTTCTGAATTTAAGGGGAGAGTCCCAAATCCTAAATATGTGATCTTATCTCTTTTACCTATCACAATGTCCCAGAAATGCCAACATTTCAAAGCCTCTCCTACTCAAAAACTGCCCAGAAATCTTGACACACTACTTTGGTTTGGAAAATGTGTGATTTCCAATGTCGCTTGGGCCTCAGTGGCAGTTCTCTTACCTTTTCCTAATCAGTTCTCTCTCCCCATTACCACATCAACCATTTCCAGCACTTATCATTATCAACTCTCTTAGGCTGCCCTCTAGTTTGGGGGGTGTGCCTCCTTACGAGATTATTTTGCCTCCTGTTGTATAGGAAACAGAGACTCTCTTGAGTAGGGTTGGAAAAGCATAGCTCAGAGAACTTACCTGGCAATCTGAAAGGAATTTTCTACTATTACTGATTCTTTGGATTCTAGATAATTGTCTTTCAGAGTACAACTTAACATTACCCCATGCTCTGTACTGTTGCAAAAAAACATCTATAGTCAAGATAAAGGACAATTTAAAAAATTGCAGTAAATTATACCATGTTTCCCTGAAAATAAGACAAGGTCTTATATTTAGTTTTCCTCAAGAAGACACCCTAGGGCTTATTTTCAGGCGATGTGTTATTTTTTTTTTTAAGTACGGTACAGCAATCTACATTTATTCAAATGTAGTTGTCTTCTTCTGGAACATCATCATAACTCTCCAAACCCTGAACTCCATCCTGAATTTCTTACAACTCTGTTTCCTTTAGACCCATTGGCCCCAATCTCTCATGTCAAGCAATAGAGCTCTCTTGGGGCAGATGAGAAGGGCTTCTGGTCTTCTTTACCGTTCTGCCACGAAATGCGTGAGTTATGCAGATACGCTGCGTAGTCACGCCCATCACTAGGTCTTATTTTCGGGGCAGGGCATATATTGCACAAATGCTTAGAAATCCTGCTAGGGCTTATTTATGGGTAGGTCTTTTTTTGGGGGAAACATGGTATATATGCAACCTAAAGTTTACCATCTTAACCACTTTTAAGTGTACAGTTTAGTAGTATGAAGCATATTCACATCATTGTGCAACCATCACCACCACGTATCACCAGAATTCTTTTTATCTTCCCAAACTGCAACTCTGTACCAGTTAGACAAAAACTCCCTATTTCAGTCTGTTCATGCTGCTATAGCAAAATATCCACCACCGGGTAATTTGTAAAGACAGACTTATTTTTCACAATTGTGGAGCCTGGGAAGTCCAATATTAAGGCGTCATCTGAGTGGTCTTTGATGAAGGTTCATTCTCTGCTTCCAAGATGGCACCTTGTTTTTGGGTTCTCTGGAAGGGAGGACTGGAAGGTGTGTGCTCACATGGCAGAAGGGATGGAAAGGCAAAAAAGGGCAAACAGAGCTCCCTTCAACTTCTTTCATAGGAGCACTAACTAATCCATTTATGAAGACAGAGACCTCATGACTTAGTCACTTCTCAAAAGGCCCAACCTCTTTTTTTTTTTAGCGTATTATGGGGGTACAAGTGTTAAGGTTACATATATTGCCCATGCCCCCCTCCCCCCTCAAGTAAGAGCTTCAAGCATGTCCATCCCCCAAATGTTTCACATCTTACTCGTTGTGGTTGTATATACCCATTCCCTCCTCCCCCCTCCCACCCTCCCCATACCTAATAAATGTTACTCCTATATGTCCACTTAGGTGTTGATCCATTAATACCAATTTGCTGGTGAGTGCATGTGGTGCTTGTTTTTCCATTCTTGAGATACTTCACTTAGTAGAATGGGTTCCAGCTGTATCCGGGAATATACAAGAGATGCTGTATTTAAGAAACCATTGTTTCTTAAAGCTGAGTAGTATTCCATGGTATACATATACCACATTTTATTAATCCACTCATGAATTGATGGGCACTTGGGTTGTTTCCACAGCTTTGCAATTGTGAATTGTGCTGCTATAAACATTCGAGTGCAGGTGTCTTTTTCATAAAGTGACTTTTGATCTTTTGGGTAGATGCCCAGTAGTGGAATTGCTGGATCAAATGGTAGATCTACTTGTATCGCTTTGAGGTATTTCCATATTGCTTTCCACAGAGGTTGAACTAGTTTGCAGTCCTACCAGCAGTGTAGGAGTGTTCCTCTCTCTCTGCATCCATGCCAGCATTTGTTGTTTGGGAACTTTTTGATAAAGAAGGCCCAATCTCTTAAATGGTGAAAGATTTATATGATCTGAAGAGAAATGAGAGTATGAGGCCCAACCTCTTAATACTGGTACATTGGCTATTAGGTTCCAACATAAGAATTTTGGGAAAGACACATATGTTCAAATCATAGCACCCCATCTCCCTTTCCCCCATCCCCTGGAAACCCCCATTATATTTTCTGTATCTTTGCATTTGACTACTCTAGGTACCTCATAAACAAGTAGAATTATATAGTATTTGTCCTTCTGTGACTGGCTTATTTCACTTAGCATAATGTCCTCAATGTTCACCCATGTTGTAGCTTGTATTAGAATTTCCTTCCTTTTTCAGGCTGAATAATATTCCATTGTATCAATAGATCACATTTTGTTTATTCATTCATCTACCAGTGAACAATTGGGTTGCTTCCACCTTTT